TTTTTATCTTTGAAATTGAAAAATAACCACTAGAAAATGACATATGTAAATATTGTTGCAGTTCGCTTTTTCTGATACATTATAAGCTATCTTAATCTTTATATAGGTATCTATACAGATTCTTTTCTTTTGCTTATTATTTTCTTTTCTTTGATTATTATTTCTGTTCCATTTATTCTCTGTTCTTTAGGAGCAATAATTTATAGATTTATCACCCTACAGGGTTCCTTTCTTTTTCCATATATATTTTTACTTCTATTCTACATCTTCGTGTTCTGAAATTTTTCAAGATTGTGGTTGACTCATATTTTCCCTATTGCCAAATCTGTTTTATTCTTCCATTCTGTACTAGCTTGCTGTGGCTACTTTAACAATGCCACAAACTTGGTGGTTTAAAAAAATAGAAATTTATTTTCTCAGTTCTAGAGGCCTGAAGTCCAAAATCAAGGTGTTGGCAGGGCTATGCTCCCTCCAAAGGCTCAGAGAGGGAATTCCTTGACTCTTCCAGCTTCTGATGGCTCCAGAAGTTCCTTGGTTTGTGAATATATCACTCCAAACTCTCCCTCCACAGTCACATTGCCTCCTTCTCTTCTGTGTGTCTAGTGCTGAAATCTCCTCCCTCTCTCTTATGAGGACACAAGTAATTACATTTAGGTCCCACCTGAATAATCTAAGATAAGCGCTTCCTCTGAAGATCCTTATCTTAAACATGTGTTTTGCCATATAAGGCAATATTTACTCTTGACATGTAACTTAATATTCACAGGTTCTGTGAATTAGGAACTAGATACATCCTTTGGTGGGGGCCACCATTCAGTCCATTACACATTCTAATTTTCAATTTGGTTTTCTTTTTTTTTTTTGCTGTGTTGGGTCTTTGTTGCTGCGCGCGGGCTTTCTCTAGTTGCTGTGGCGAGCGGGGGCTACTCTTTGTCGCGGTGCATGCGCTTCTCATTGCAGTGGCTTCTCGTTACAGAGCATGGGCTCTAGGCACGCAGGCTTCAGTAGTTGCAGCATGTGGGCCCTGGAGCACGCAGGCTTCAGTAGTTGTGGTGCACAGGCTTAGTTGCTCTGTGGCGTGTGGGATCTACCCAAACCAGGGCTCCAACCCATGTCCCCTGCATTGGCAGGTGGATTCTTAATCACTGCACCACCAGGGAAGTCCCCAATCTGGCTTTCTTATTTTCATTTCTATGAAGTATTTTATAAGACTGTGATGAATTGATTTTTCTATCAATGATTCTTAAGAAAGATACCTATGACTGCCTATTTTGAGTACATATCAAATAAAACTTGGACTGAGTTGACTCAGTCAACTCATAATTGAGTTGACTCACATGATATATGTGCCAACCTAGATCCTTCACAAGTGGACTTTCCAAAGTTTGTATCAAGGAAAAAATGGTTGATAGAAATTTCAAGACAAAGAAGCCTATGGGACAGGTGAGTGGAAAGAAGAGTAATCCTAATGACTAGTAGGTTCATCTTATCATTATAGTCATGGGATACCCCTGCAGTCACTACTGCTATTAAGGTCACCAAATACCTTCATCTTTTCAAACGGAAATGTCATCTTTCCTTCCTCATTTTTTTTTTTTTTCATTCTTTCAGGAGCATCTCATACAGTTAACCACTTTGGGCATCATGACTCACGTTCTTCCTTGATTTCCAAGTACCCTTACCAGCACTGTTTGGGTTTCCTTCTTATCTTGTTAGCCTCTTCACTCTCCTTTGTTATCTCTTTTGCCTGAAGTTGAAATACTGTACTGCTCTAGGACTTAATCCTTAAATTAAGTCTCCATACTCACTCCTTCATAAGGGGGTCTTGTTCAGGACTGTGACTCATTTCTACGTCAGGGCCTTTATAGTAGCAGTTTCCTCTACTTCAAAACCTATCCCAGACCCTCATACAGCTAGTTCCTTCTCATGATTCATTTACATTTTCCACATTTATATTTCTACCTAATGTGTCCAAACATAAAACACATCTTCTAATGTTCTTCCTTATCTTAGTTAATGGTATCATCATTTATCCAGTTGTTCAGACTAAAGGCATGGGTATCGCCATAGTTTATTCTATACCTCTTCTCCCTAAAGTCAAATCCATCAACTGGTATTTTTAGCTCTACCTTCATAATATATCCAGAAACTGACCTTTTTTCACAATTTCCATGGTATAGTAAACAGAATTCTAAAATGGAGCACAAGCTCCCCTACCCCTGCTATACATGCCTTGCATAATTCTGAGGAAAGTGAATGTAATGGACTTTACTTCCATGATTAAATTATGTCATTTGGCACAGCTGACCTTCAAATAGGGAAATTATCCAGGAAAATATCCTGACCCAATCACTTGGGCACCCTAAAAGCAGAGATTTTTCTCTGGCTGGTCACAGAAGAGAAGTCAGAGATTTGGATTGTGGGAAGGATCTGATGCACCTTTGTGGACGTAAATATGGTGGGAGCCACGCATCAAGGAATGTGGGCAGCCTCTAGAAGACGAGAGCAACCACTGGCTTAGAACCAGCAAGAAAATGGGGACCTAAGTCCTATAACCACAAGGCACTGAATTCTGCTAACAACCTGAAGGAGCTTAAAAGCAGATTCTTCCCCAGAGCCTCCAGATAAGAACTCAGTCAACACCTTGATTTTGGCCTTTGAAACCCTGAGCAGAGAATCCAGCTATACTGTGCCTGGACTTATAACTTACAGAACTGTTTAATAATAAATGGCTGCTGTTTTAAGTCACTAAGTTTGTGGTTTATTATGCAGCAATAGAAAACCAATTCACATGCTAAAATCCTAATCCAAGATACCAGTCTATAGCCTGCACTACAGAAACAATCTCCTAATTGTGCTTGTTTCTCTTTGTACCCTTGTTTTCCTATACTCCATTATCGACACAACAGCAAGAGCAATCTTTTATTGCTAAGTTTTCTTTTCAAAACATAGATGAGGGACTTCCCTGGTGGCGCAGTGGTTAATAATCCTCCTGCCAGTGCAGGGGACGTGGGTTCGATCCCTTGTCCGGGAAGATCCCACATGCCGTGGAGCAACTAAGGCCATGTGCCACAACTACTGAGCCTGAGCGCCACAACTACTGAAGCCCACGTGCCTAGAGCTCATGCTCCACAATAAGAGAAGCCACTGCAATGAGAAGCTTGTGCACCACAACGAAGAGTAGCCCCTGCTCGCCGCAACTAGAGAAAGCCCGTGTGCAGCAACGAAGACTCAATGCAGCCAAAGATAAATAAATAAATTAATTAAAAAAAAAACTTAAAAAAAAAAAAAACTTAAAAAAAAAAGAACAGGGAGAAAAAAAAACATAGATGAGATCATGCCACTTACTTGCTTAAAACTTTCCAATGACTTTGCCATTATGTAGAATAAACCCCCAAATCCTTAACCTGGCCTATGGTATTCTATTTGATTTAGCTGTCACCTAACTCTCTACCTCGTCTCCTACCTCTAACCACAGTTATTCATTTTTCAAACATGCTAAACTTATTCCAAGCTCAGAGATTTTACATGTGCTCTCACTTCTACCTGAAATATTCTTTAGCCATCTCCTCATCTTTTGGCTTTCAGTTTAAATGCCACCTCCTTTTGCAGCTATCTTATCCATATTCTATACTAGTTATTCCCTATTTGCTTACTGTGCTTTGTTTCTATGGCATATTTTATTATTTAATTAAATATCATTTATTTCTATGTTCACTTATTTATTGTTTGTCTCTCTTCCAAGATTACAAACTAAGTATGGTCAGTCTTTATTGGTTTGTCAGTAGACAGATCAGAGCCTTGTATGTAATTGCTGAGCATGTAAAATGAAGACTAGTACCCCAGAGGAACCTCTTCCTTCCCCACCACCCATGCCCAGTGGTCTGTTTGAATTTTCAATACCAATCAGTAATTAACTTTCAAAAGTTTCTCCATGTAATAGATATCATCCCAGTACTTCCAGTCTGTAGGACTGAAAGAGGCCAAAAAACTTTTGCAATTACTCTACATTCCAAACTTGTTTTGCATGCCTATGTTCAAAGTCAGCAAAGCTTCCATTTAAGAAGGGGTTTCTGAATCTAATTCAACTTACATCATAGTTCTGTTGTTTTCTCTATCTAGGGGAATACAATCATTAATTAGTAATCTATGTTTTTTTTTTCTTTCTCTTTTTGGTTTAGCCCCAGAAGCATTTTATTTTTAAGAAATTCCTTCTCAATCCTAGCATGTAGTCAATTTTTCTTGGCATGTTGATTAGGATATTTTCTCACTTCAGTTAGACGTTTTAACAGTATTACTTATGGTATCATATCGACTTGTAAGAAAACTTGAGACTTTCCAACAAAGCTCTCCAGAGATGGAGGCTATTTTGGAAGGTAGTTTTTTCCCATCATTGGAAAGTTTTTAGGTACAGGTAAGTAACCACATCGTAAGTAAGTGTTAAGAATTCAAGTTTCATATGTATAGCTTAACTAGAAGACTTGTGAAGTACTTTTGCATCTCTGAGTTATTACAATTCCTTATATGTATGAGAGTAGCCCCAATTAATAATACACTCTCCAGAGGATAGTCAACTAAAAGTGTCCTTCATGTTATAAAACTGATGTACTCTTGAAACAATTCTTACAACATACATTTCAACACACTTAACCTTATTTTCTTTTGGCTTTTTAAAAATAAATATGGAGATAAACAATTTTGGAAAATAATTTAAATCCTATGTTAATTAGGCTAGGTACTGTGAAATAATACTAAAGTTAAAATTCTCTCAGGAAGTAATATTTGGCTAGTCTATACATAAAATCAGTATGCCTAAATATGACTTATTTTATTATTAAATTTAAAAAATTTCAATATAAAGTCTTTAATTGCTATCTCATACTTAATTCTTTTATAGCTTGCAAAGACATTTAGAAGAATATGTTGAAAGTTAGGAAAACTTAAGCTTGAAAAATCCCCAATTTATTTTTATATTATTTAAAAATTTTAAAGGAACTTACCCTGGTGCATAGTTGCATATGAAAAGTGCTGCATGTTTAATATGTCCAATTCTTGAACATGGAGTAACAGCACAACCAACTTTGTAAGACTTGTCCCAAACAAGCTAAAATAAAATTTTCAAAGAAAACATAAAAGTTAATTCTAAACATTTACTCTGCCATAGTATAAACAATAGTATATTCAATACACATAGGACCTTTAACAAAGCAATTCAAGGAATATGAACAATTCTTCATTTGGATGCAGGTAGAGAATTATCATGGATTTAGGGAAGCATTTCCAAAACTGTATTTAGAGAAACACTTTAATAGGTTCTACCAATACTGTATTCTTAGGATAAAGAGTCTGAGAAAAACTGATCCAGAATAATGTTTTAGAGCCAAAGGAAGACACCTGCTGAATCAATTTTTGACCTCTTGTTGACTCTGAGAGTTCTAGGTTATTGGCAAAGAGGGAGAGGGAAATGAGAAGACACAAAGTTTTGGAAGAATGGAAGTTGTGAATAAAAAGGAAAAAAAGAGGGGACAGTAAGATTATAGAAGGGAAGGAAAAGAAATACAAGAGTAGAAAGTAATTGAATGTTATCAGCATTTTTCTTTTCTTTTATTGAGGAAATTCCATTACAAAATAAAATGAAGTCTGGGCCTTTCATTAAAAAAATGAGTAAAAGAGCTGGTTCCTATAAAATAATGTCTTGCAAAATAGGTCTTGGAGTGAAAATATGAGAATAATTAAAGATATTCCAGAAATTCCTGAATGGCTTTAATATTCCTAATACTTACAAGTGAATGACAACAAAAAATTGTTTTGTTAACCTCTGTGGGAGAGGGAGAAACAATTTGTTTTCCTTTTCTCTATAGCTGAAGTCTTAGTGATTCCAAAAGAAATAGAGTTTCTTTAAAAGAATAGAGAATAGAATGTCTGTAACAGTTGAAGTTAAACAGGTCAAATGCAGGAAATGAAAATGTCTAGGAAACTAGACTTAAGGAGGAAAAAATACAGAGGAGTAGGTCAGGGAGTAGACTTTTACTCAGAGTATTGAAGTCATATTAAGGAGTCTAGCTTTGACATGAGTAAGACAGTAGAGAACCACTCTAACTTTCTAGGAGAAAAAATTGATTAAAAAATTTTTGAAACATAAATCATTTGATGGAACAGGAAGACATGAGTTCAACATGAAAAAATTCCAAGATTTTAAGTTCTACATTAGAGTCTATTGACTGAAAAATAATCTTTTAAATGAGCTTGGAAGTTAATTCAATAGTTTCTTGATACCTGATACAAATATTTATTGAAGACCTTAATAATGTCATGTTGCTGTGCTGAGAATACATGGATAAGAAGACAAGGTCCCTGCCCTTAGTGTAGTATTAGATATATAAACAGATGATTATAAAACAATGTAATATGTGAAAAAATAAATGTTTGTACAGGAAATAAAAAGTGGTTCAGTGTTCTTGGAGTACAAAGTGTAAGAGTGAATTGTTAGACATGAGGTAGGAAAATAATTATATGTATTTGCATTTAAAATATTTTAATCAGTTATATAGTAGTATGTGTGCTGATCTGTGCAAAAAAAAATCATCTTTTACTTATGTTTATAGTCAATAAACTAAAACTAATTTTCATTTGCTAGTTTCTTTCTTTTCCAGTGTACATTATTTTAGAAAGGTACCTTTCATCTTTGGCTATGGAGATTAGACTTACTATATTTAAAGGAATGTTTTAATTGCATGGTTCAAATAATAGAAGAAATGATGAACATTTAGAAGATCTAGGACTGATTAGAATTTTGATTCTATTAGAGGTAATAATTTTACCATTTGAGTTTATTTATAAAATTGAAACACAATAACAACATAGTAGTAAAGCAATTAAGGAGTCTATTGAATTAATAATATAAAATTAGATACCTGTAGATAATTAGAACAGTTATCAGAGCAACTGTTCTTTTCAAAATTGTACTTTTTCCTCTGTGCGAACCAACTTCTGATAGCGATACTTGCAGTAAATTCATTTTCAGGGCCGACCCACATATTTTCACCAATACCATTAAATCTAGGATGGGCCATTTTTCGTTCTTCTAAATGAATATTACGTTCAAACACACATTTTTTCCCCCATGCTCTAGCAGTCCGTGACAAAGCTACATCCCAAGTCTGAAAAAAAAAATGCAAAAAGTAAAGAAGAAAAAATAACGAGTTATTTTTTTTTTGTGCTCTAAATTATTTTCCTTGAGTTCTCATAATTATATGTAAGGAAAACAATTCTTATTTTGTGCTTATGAGTCTGGTTTATGGAATTTATGTAGGAGAAAAAGTGTTTTGAGACAATTATAAATGAAACAACTATTTCCTGAGATGAAGGCTTATGCATATATTTGTAAGTAAAAAATCAGATTGTTAGATGATGCAAATGGTTATAATACTCTTACATGTAGTCTATTCAGAAAATGTGTATTTTTAATCTCATGCCTTTTATATGTAATAATACAATAATTTAAAATATTTAAGAACTATTTATTGAGCACTGATTATATGCAAATTATTGTACTGTGAGGAATAAAATATGAAGTCAACATAAATTTGTCCTCTAGTTGCTTACTGTTGTTAGGAGAAAAACCTGGGATAATATATACATACATATACATATATATACAAATACACATATATATATTTATATATATATTTTTTAACACATAGTGGTAGTTGGTAAATGTTATAAAAGGGGCACATGTAAAGTTTTTAGGATGTTCCTAGAAATGTAAGAAAATATCACAAGATGCTGCTCCCCTCCATTTATGGAAATATCCAGAAATGTGTACTTCTGACATATTTAGAGCCTCATTAAATTCATTGTTTAGTTAAGGACAAGAACAAAAACAACACAAATAGAAAAATCAACAAAATATTTGTAAAACCAACATGCTAAATATATATATGTTACAGTAAATCTGAAAATAAACATTTCTGAAAAACAATACTAAGATTTCCCTAGAGTTTTCTTGGTTAATTTCATAGATTATACAGAAGTACAATACAGAAAATATATTATAGAAAACTTTAGCATATACCCTCCCTCCCCGCACTATTTCCCTCCCCAGAGGTAATCATTTTTAAAAAAATTGTTTATGTATAAATTTCTCTAGCTCCATATACACACATTCATATATAAGATATGTTAGGGTGTTTTAGATGAGTATTTTGTGATTTTTGTCTTTGCACGGTTTTAATCATACCATACACAATATTATTGGCCCGTAACTTGCAGTTTTCACTTAGAGAGATTGTTCCATATTAGCACAACTAGATCTACCTAATTTTTTGCAAACTTTTTATAGTATTCCATTGTATGGCTAGCAGCATGTAATAAAGGTTACCGTTCCACTATTAATGGCCCTTCAGATTCTTTGCCATTTGCAAACAATGCTCCATGGACCATTTTTCTACTGCCTAATTTTGCATATTATTTACACATCACATGCTTACAATGCACCATGTCACTATTCTAAGTGGGTTTTTTCCTTCCATTTTTTTCCTTCCATTTTTATTGAGATATAATTGACACACAGCACTGTGTAAGTTTCAGGTGTACAGCATAATACATCATGAAATGATTAACACAATTAGTTTAGTGAACATCCATTATCTCATATAGATATAAAAACAAAATTTTTCCCTTGTGATGAGAACTCAAGATTTACTCTCTTAACAATTTCAGATATAACACACAGCAGTAGTGTTATATTAAACATTTGGACATCATCCCTAGTATTTATCTTATAACTGGAAGTTAGTACCTTTTAACCACCTTCATCCAATCCCCCACTGCCCCCACCCCCATAACCACAAATCTGATCTCTTTTTCTATGAGTATTTTTGTTTTTGTTGTTTTTTGAAGTATAATTGACCTACAACACTACTATGTTAGTTCCTGGTGAACAACATAGTGATTCAATATTTCCATACATTACAAAATAATCAGCACAAGCCTAGTTACCATTTGTCTCCATACAAAGATATTACATTATTTTTGACTGTACTTCCCAAATTTCATTCCCCTGGCTCACTTATTTTGTAACTGGAAGTTTGTACCTCTTAATTTCCCTCAGCTATTTCACTCATCCCCCCCGCCCACTCCCCTCTGGCAATCACCTGTTTGTTCTCTTTATCTATGACTCTGTTTCTGTTTGATTATGTTTGTTGTTTTCTGGACTCCATATATAAGTGAAATCATATGGTATTTGTCTTTCTCTGTCTGACTTATTTCACTTAGCATAATACCTTCTAGGTTCATCCATGTTGTTGCCAATAGTAAGATTTCATTCTTTTTTATGGCTGAGTAATATCCCATTGTGTATGTATATATATATATATATATATACCACATCTTCTCTATCCATTCATTTATCGATGGGCACTTAGGTTGCTTCCATATCTCGGCTATTGTGAATAATGCTGCAATGAACACAGGAGTGCAGATACCTTTTTGAATTAGTGTATTTTTTGTTTTTTTTCTTCCGGAAAAATACCCAGAAGTGGAATTGCTGCCACTGGAATGTCTACTCCCTTGTTTCTATGAGTTTGACTTTTTTTTTTTCAGATTCCACATATAAGTGATACCATGCAATATTTATCTTTGTCTGGATTATTTCACTTAGCATAATGCCTTCAAGTTCCATCCCAGTTGTTGCAAATAGCAGGATTTCCTTCTTTTCTCATGGCTGAACAATATTCCATTGTATATATACACACCACTTCCTCTTTGTCCATTCGTCCATCGATGGGCACTTAGGTTGCTTCCATATCTTGGCTATTGTGAATAATGCTGCAGTGAACACAGGAGTGCAGAAATCTCTGTAACATCCTGTTGTCATTTCCTTTGTTTTTATACCTAAGAGTGGAATTGCTGGATCATATGGTAGTTCTTTTTAAAATTTTTTAAGGAATCCTCCACACTAATTTCCATAGTGGTTGTACGAATATACATTCCCAACAACAATGTACAAATCTTCCCTTTTCTCTATATCCTCACCAATGTTTGTTTTCTCCTGTCTTTTTTGGTGATAGACATTTTAATGGGTGTGAAATGATATCTTATTGTGGTTTTAATTTGCATTTCCCAGATGATTAGTCATGTTGAGCACCTTTTTATGTACCTGTTAGCTAAAGCTATAAAATTCTTACAAGAAACAAAGGGGAAAAGCTTCATGACATTTGATTTGGCGATAATTTCTTAGATATGTCACCAAAAGCACAGGCAACAAGATAAAAACATAGATAATTAGACTTAATTACAATTAAAAACTTTTGTGTATCAAAGGACACTATTAACAGAATGAAAGGCAACCTATGGAGGGGAGAAAACATCTGAAGATCATATATTTGACAAGGGATTTTATCCAGAATATATAAAGAATTCCTTCAATTCAGCTAACCAAAAGACTGTAACAACCTGACCAAAAAATGACCAAAGAACTTGTGCAAACATTTCTACAAAGAAGACATACAAATGGCCAATAAACACCTGAAAATATGCTCAACATAACTAATCATTAGGGAAATGAAAATCAAAACCATAATGACATACCACTTCACACCCATTAAAACAAGTGTTGGCAAGGATGTGGAGAAATTGAAACCCTGTGCATTGCTGGTAGGAATGCGAAATGTGCAGCCACTATGGGAAACAGAATGTCAGTTCTTCAAAAAATTAAGCATAGAATTTGTACATGTTTTTGCAATTCCATTTCTGGGTATATACCTAGTAAAGGTGAAAGCAGGGAATCGAACAGATATCTATTCATATACCTATGTCCACAGCAGCATTATTCACGATAACCAAAATGTGGAAGAAACTCAACTGTCCATGGAGAGATAAATGGATAAACAAAATGTGGTATATACATAAAGTAGAATATTATTCAGCCTTTAAGAGGATGGAAATTCTTTTAAAAAAATTTTTAAAAATTAATTTATTTTTTGGCTGTATTGGGTCTTTTTTGCTGTGCGGGCTTTCTCTAGTTGTGGAGAGCAGGGGCTACTCTTCATGCAGTGCACAGGTTTCTCATCACAGTGGCTTCTCTTGTTGCGGAGCACAGGCTCTAGGCGTGCAGGCTCAGTAGTTGTGGCACACGGGCTTAGTTGCTCCGTGGCATGTGGGATCTTCCCAGACCAGGGCTCGAACACATATTCCCTGTGTTGGCAGGTGGATTCTTAACCACTGCACCACCAAGGAAGTCCCAGAATGGAACCTTGAAGACATCATGCTAAGTGAAACAATCCAGTCACAAAGAGGAACACTTATGATTCTTATATGATGTACCTGGAGTAGTCAAATTTATGAGACAGAAAGTAGAATGGTAGTAGCCAGCAGAAAGAAGGGAATGGGGAGTTAGTGTTTAATGGGTGCAGAGTTTCTATTGCTTAGGATGAAAATGTTCTGGAGATGAATGGTGGTGATGATTGCACAACAATGTGAATGTATTTAATGTCATAGAACTGTACACTTAAAGATGGTTAAAATGGTAAATTTTATGTTATGTATATTTTACAATTAAAAAACCCAATAAATTTTTGAGTTTAAAAATTGTTTTGAGTTTAAAAACAAGGTAGAACAAAAATACTAGGTGACGACAACAACAGCATGGACATGGGCAGAAGACAATTTATGTGTTGTAATATCTTTTTAATGTTTAGAAGGTTATAGATGTTGATTAACTTTGGACTTTGTAAAGTATATACATTAAAATGTTAAGCATAACCAGTAAATAATAAAGATAAAATGTATGATTTCCAAACCTGTCAAGGAAAAGTTCTAAGTAGACCATACTATTATGATAGACTATACTATTTACAGTTATCATTTACATCTTAGTAAAATCCATGGGAAAAATATATACAAATTTTTAGAAAGAAGGATAAAATTTAGAGTGCAGCTTTAAACTGTACCCAAAACATTATTCTTTCAAAAATGTTCACATATTAATATATATATTGAGGGGACACAATATTATGCTTTATATTATTCTCTATGCTTTATGTTTGAAATAAAAATTTTAGACATTAGGAATACAGAGCCTATAAAAAGTTGAATTAAAAATATTTTGTGTCTATTCATTATCAGGAGGAATGCTAATCTTCAAACTTGGAAGAAATAGAATTAATCACAAAGGGTGGGAAATACATAGATATAACTCTCAAATATCCTCAAATTCTAATTAAATTCAAAAGATTAAAATTGGCTTGGATAAAACTATCTTCAGCAAATACAATGCTAGTATTGATATATTTCTATAAGAAAACATATAAACAGAAGAGGAAACTTACTGAGAATTCAAAAGGTAAAGAAAATGAACAAAATACGTACAAAATACGTCCAATCAAAATAACATTTTAAAATTAACATTAAAGCAAAGTTCCCTTTTATAATTTATTAGTTTAGCAAGTGACTGAAAATGTCCAAGCCAGTCAGATGTGGTATGTCCAGTCACATGTACGTATGGTATGTCACATGTGCAGTCCAGTAAATTAGTTCACGTGTCTGGCGTACATTGTCATGTGCGTGCATCCTCTACAAGTGGTTGTGCTTTGTGTACTTACTTTGTGTAGCTTACTAATGAAGACCTGATGGAATTGAGGCCCAGAGAATGGACAAAGAGAGACTAGAGGAAGAAGAAGTAACTAAAGAACAGAAGAGATTCAAGACGCAGGAAATGGCAAGGGGATTTTCTTTATTTGAGGAGGCACTGTTAGTTTCTTTTTTTTTTTTTTCATTTTAACATCTTTATTGGAGTATAATTGCTTTACAATGGTATGTTAGTTTCAGCTTCACAACAAAATGAATCAGTTATATATATATACATATGTTCCCGTATCTCTTCCCGCTTGCGTCTCCCTCCCTCCCCCCCCCCCTATCCCACCCCTCCAGGCAGTCACAAAGCACCGAGCTGATCTCCCTGTGCTATGCGGCTGCTTCCCACTAGCTATCTACCCTACGTTTGGTAGTGTATATATGTCCATGCCTCTCTCTCGCTTTGTCACAGTTGGCACTGTTAGTTTCTAAGGCACAGGACCTGAACGTAGTATGGTACACAAAGGTTGCAGCAGCCATTCAGAATGCAATCCAGTGCTACCATGTCATCTATGACAAGAAAAAAACAGCTACTACCCAGACATCACTGGATTGCTTTTTCAAGAGGGTAGATAGAATTGAATCCAGCAAGGAACCAGAACCTGTGCCATCAACTACAGGTGTTAGTGAAATTGCAGCTTGCCCTCCATCTCCTATCACTGACAATCCTTCAGCTCTGTCATCTCCCACCTCCTCTCCCTCCTCCAGTCAGTAACTCTTCTTGGCTGTTCACTCGATGGCAGCCCCTGGATGCCAGCTGTTGTACTGTACTACTGTGCCTTTCAAGGTACTATACAGTAAGGTTAAAAATGTTTTATCTGGGGGCTTCCCTGGTGGCGCAGTGGTTGAGAACCTGCCTGCTAATGCAGGGGACACGGGTTCGAGCTCTGGTCTGGGATGATCCCACATGCCATGGAGCAACTAGGTCCGTGAGCCATAACTACTGAGCCTGCGCGTCTGGAGCCTGTGCTCTGCAACAAGAGAGGCCGCGATAATGAGAGGCCTGCGCACCGCGATGAAGAGTGGCCCCTGTTTGCCACAACTAGAGAAAGCCCTTGTGCAGAAACGAAGACCCAACACAGCAAAAATAAATAAATTAATTAATAAACTACCCCCAACATTTAAAAAAAAAAAGTTTTATTTTTTGTGTTTTATGTATTATTTGTGTGAAAAGTATTATAAACCTATTACAGTACAGTACTATATAGCCGCTTGTGTTAGTTGGGTACCTAGGCTAACTTTGTTGGACTTCAGAACAAATTGGACTTAAGAACGCACTCTGGGAACTGAACTCGTTCGTATGTAGGGGACTTACTGTACTTCTACACTGCTGATATTTGCTTAATTTGGCACAGTCCTTCAGTATAGCAATTGCTACGTATCGTATAAATAAAATAATCACATACTTTGTCACATTTCTGGAATTTTTCCTAAGGAACTAATCCAGAAGGAAGAAAAGACATATCTAGGGAGACAGTCCTTGCAATATTCACAACATAAATTGGAAGGTCCTAATTGCCCGATATTTACTCAATACATTTTGCATTCATTTTTAATGACAATCATGAAGACTCTATAGCACCAGGGGAACAGCTAACGAATCATTGCAAAGAAATACGGGGAAAAAAATGGGAAAGAAGCAAGAACTATTTTGTAAGGGAAAGCAAAATCAGGGCCGGGTCTAGGACGAGGTGAATGAAACATTCTCTAGGGAGCAAAATTTAGGCTGGATACCAAAAAACTCAATAATCAAGACAAAAAATATTTTAAAAAGGCAAAATTAGTGTGAAAACATCCATGATAAAAATTCAAAATTTTAAATAAGAACAGAATCTGACCTTTCATTTGCATTATCCTGAGAGTGCCTCACTTACCTCTCCCAAATTCAAGCTCAAAGATCCTGTCTTTGTTTAACGTGATTCTGTTTCATCAATAATACTTTTGCATTGATTTTTAAATTTTAAAAATTACATTAAACCATCATTTTCTCGAATTAAAGCTCCCTTAAATTTTGCACCTCTGGTGAGTACCTCTACTCACCCTAGTCCAAGCCCTGTGCAAACCCTTGGTAATAACTATGCGTTCAAGTGACAGTGGTTTTTATTTCTTGAACATATAAACTTTACGTGTATTTTAAAACCCAAACTCTAAGCGCGGTTGTCCGCGATCCTTAAGGCTCAGAGACCCAGACTCTCCGCGGCCGAGGGGGAAGTACTGACAGGGGCTGTTGGAGGTTTGGGCAACCGCCTTAGGGCCTCACCATGAAGCGCAAGTTAGCCCCTCGGGGGATGACGCTGCCCCGGAGCTCATTGTGGAGGTTCACGTACTCATTGATAAACGTTACGTCCTCTTCGTGTGGCAAAAAATGCGCGTTCAAACCGGAACCCAGCAGTAGTAGCCAGAACTCACAGAGCCACACCTCCCAAACAACCGTCTGCGCCAGAGGAAGCGTTTGGGCGTACCACTCCCGGGCGAAGCGCCTCGGGGTCTCCATGGTTCACTGGCCCTGGCCAGGCCAGTGCGCACGCGCCGGCCCGCCCCAGCGACCTGCCAATCAACGGGGAGGGGCGGTGCAGGCACGTCTGGCCCCGCCTCCCCGCGAACGGAGGGAAAAGGATGAAGGGAAACCAGAGTGAGGGAAGACTCGTGAAAGCTGTCTGCAGAACTAACCACAACAGAGGCTTGAGTTAAATGAGTGCAAGCTTTTCACTAAACTAATGTAGTTAAATATCCAGAGTCGATTTCTGACACCAGATGATGTGTCATCGTTTATTAATGTGTCAACTGCCCAGTAAATGCCAATTGCTGAATAAGTAACATGTCTGAGGAACCTTCTAATTCTTCTGTGACACTGATGAAAATTCAACCAAAAAAAAAATCCTTACTTGTTAAGTTGGGAGTTTAATGCAAGACCTTCCTTTTATTTTCCTCCTGGACAGAAGAATATCCTCTTTTAGGCCAACTTCCTCACTGAGATTTTCTCAATGTTTTAGTGATCATTTGTGGGAAACCGCAGGATAAATGGGAAAAGTGGAAAGCTCAGCAGGTAGGGGGTAGACTAGGGATCATCAAATTCTCATAAAGTTAAAATATTTTCATTTTTTTCTCTCACCAGCATGTCTGGAATATCAATATTCATCTTCTCTGACAAATTGTCATGTTAACAGTAGGTAAGAACTCATTTTTTTTTTTTGGTTTTCATTTCTTTCAGAAAAAAATGGCTAGTGTCCTAGCAGATTTTGGCCTGGTTTCTTTAGCTTCAAGTATTTGGCTCAAGAAAACTTGCTTTGAAGAATGTAAGTTGTAGGCACAAAATAAAAACATATTCGTTTTGGGGTATATATTTGCATATCACATATTGTGCTGGATAGCATTAAGGAGATATTCAGAATCATTGACACAGGAACAGAATTTGGCCACAAAGAAAGCATTGAAACCGCTTGACCAAAAAGTATCTAAAAATAAATGTGCTTTTAAAGATTATCTATGGTGTACACAACTGAAAGCAGTAGACCTCACAAGATGGTTTCATTCATGCCTTAATTCTTTTAATAAATATGTATTACCAGGTAGTGTGTTAGGTGGATGAGAAAGGCCAGTGGACAAGACACAAACCCTGCTTCCAAGTAGCTTACAGTCTAGAGAACTAGCAAATCGGTGACTTTATACCATGGATAAATATAAAGCCAAAGTGCTATGGCATAATGTGTGGGGCAACTAACACCCTTTTTGAGGACCAGGTAGGCCTGTTTGGGGAGTGTGACATCGAGAAAGTGAAGCACACAAGTTAAAGAGTGCATTCTAAACAAAGGAAAAAGCATGTAGTATGCTAGGAGATAAAAAAGGCTAAAAGTGTTTTAGTATGACCAGAGTGTATTGTGGGGGGTCAAGGTGGCAAGTGCTGAAAGATGGAATTCCTTTATTATGTTGGTACTGTTGTTAGACTATGAAAACTGCTATATTAAAGCACAAGATAAATACAATAATGCAGACTTAGATTAGGAAGAAATTTTAGCCTTTTACTCATCCCACTGTATTAGACATATCTGACACATCACTGACAGGTGATCACCATATCCTCTGCTTAAATAATTATGTTAGCAGGGAAGTCACTATCTCTTAGGCAGCCCATTCCATTGCTGGACATCTTACTCATTAATTTAATAAGTATTTCTTTAGGACCTCTATGTGTCAGACCCATGCTAGGTGTTAGAGCTACAAATTCTCAGCAAATTAGATTCGTAGTCTATCCACATGAAGCTTTTAGTTAAAGGTGATACAAATCATCAAATAACTATAATACAGAGTAATAAGTGCTATTTTAAAATTTAAAAAATTCTTGCTGTGTGTCAGGAGCTATTTTGTTTGTTTTCTATTGTGGTAAAATATACATAAAACTTACCATTTTAACCCTTTTTAGTGGAAAATTCAGTGTCAATTACATTCACTATGCTGTTTCCAGAACTATCGGGTGAGATTTTAAATGTTTGGAAAATATCAACTCATTTAAATAATAAAAACCTCAAGAAACAGATATTATGTTAAAATTTTTATTGAAGTATAGTTGATTTACAATGTTGTGTTTAATTTCTGCTGTTCAGCAAAGTGACTCAGTTATATTTAAATATTCTTTTTCATCATGGTTTATCACAGGATCTGTGCTATACAGTAGGACCTTGTTGTTTATCCATTCTATATATGTTTGCCTCTGCTAATCCCAAACTCCCAATCGTTTTCTCCCACACCTCTCCATCCCCTTGGCAACCACAAGTCTGTTCTCCATATCTGTGAGTCTGTTTCTGTTTCATAGATATGTTCATTTGTGTCGTATTTCAGATTCCACATATAAGTAATATCATATGGTATTTGTCTTTCTCTTTCTGACTTACTTTGCTTAGTATGATAATCTCTAGGTCCATCCATGTTGCTGCAAATGGCTTTATTTTATTCTTTCTAATGACTGAGTAATATTCCATTGTATATATATACCACATCTTCTTTATCCATTCATCTGTTGATGGGCAATTAGGTTGTTTCCATGTCCTGGCTCTTGTAAATAGTGCTGCTATAAACATAGGGTGCATGTATCTTTTCAAATTAGAGTTTTATCTGGATATATGCCCAGGAGTGGGACTGCTGGATCATATGGCAACTCTATTTTTAGTTTTTGAGGAATCTCCATACTGTTTTCCATAGTGGCTGCACCAATATACATTACCACCAACAGTGTAAGAAGGTTCCCTTTCTCCACACCCTCTCTAGCATTTATTATTTGTAGACAATTATTATTATAATGATGGCCATTCTGACTGGTGTGAGACGGTACCTTATTGTTAAGGAACAGATATTATTATTATCTCCATTTTACAGATGGAAAAGCTAAGAAAAAGCAAAGTAAAGTAATTTGTCTAAAGTCACCCAGCCAGTAGGTTTTAGAGCTGGTTTTCAAACTCAGGTGACTAATACAGGAGTACACAGGAACAGGAAATGAAGACGTCTAGTTTGGTTTGTGTAGAAAGAGGCCAAGCTTGCTGAAGATGTTTTGCAAACGTTCAACCTTTCAGATCTGTCAGTGAATTGGCTGACATCATGTACTTCATACAAAAAATAGAGCTAGGTTCTTCATGACAGTTTTTTTTTCTTAAATTCCATATATATGTGTTAGCATATGGTATTTGTCTCTCTCTTTCTAACTTACTTCACTCTGTATGACAGACTCTAGGTCCCTCCACCTCATTACAAATAACTCAATTTCATTTCTTTTTTGTCTGAGTAACATTCCATTGTATATATGTGCCACATCTTCTTTATCCATTCATCTGTTGATGGACACTAAGGTTGCTTCCATAACCTGGATACTGTAAATAGGGCTGTAATGAACATTGTGGTACATGACTCTTTTTGAATTACGGTTTTCTCAGGGTGTATGCCCAGTAATGGGATTCCTGGGTCATATGGTAGTTCTATTTTTAGTTTTTTAAGGAACCTCCATACTGGTCTCCATAGTGGCTGTATCAATTTACATTCCCACCAGCAGTGCAAGAGGGTTCCCTTTTCTCCACACCCTCTCCAGCATTTATTGTTTCTAAATTTTTTTTAATGAAAGCCATTCTGACTGGTGTGAGGTGATACCCCATTGTAGTTTTGATTTGCATTTCTGTAATGATTACTGATGTTGAGCATCCTTTCATGTGTTTGTTGGCAATCTGTATATCTTCTTTGGAGAAATGTCTATTTAGGTCTTCTGCCCATTTTTGGATTGGGCTGTTTTATTGACATTGACCTGCAGGAGCTGCTTGTATATTTTGGAGATTAAACTTTTGTCAGTTGCTTCATTTGCAACTATTTTCTCCTGTTCTGAGGGTTGTCTTTTCATCTGATTTATGATTTCCTTTACTATGCAAAAGCTTTTAAGTTTCATTAGGTCCCATTTGTTTATTTTTGTTTTTATTTCCATTTCTCTAGGAGATGGGTCAAAAAGGATCTTGCTGTGATTTATGTCAAAGAGTGTTCCTCCTTGAGTTTTATAGTGTCTGGCCTTATATTTAGGTCTTTAAAACGTTTTGAGTTTATTTTTGTGTATGGTGTTAGGGAGTATTCTAATTTCATTCTTTTACATGTAGCTGTCCAGTTTTCCCAGCACCACTTATTGAAAAGACTGTCTTTTCTCCATTGTATATCCTTGCCTCCTTTCTCATAGATTAGTTGACCATATGTGCGTGGGTTTATCTCTGGGCTCTCTATCCTGTTCCATTGATCTATATTCCTGTTTTTGTGCCAGTACCATATTGTCTTGATTACTGTAGCTTTGTAGTATAGTCTGAAGTCAGGGAGTCTGATTCCTCCAGCTCCGTTTTTTTCTCTCAAGACTGCTTTGGCTATTTGGGGTCTTTTGTGTCTCCATACAAATTTTAAGATTTTTTATTCTAGTTCTGTAAAAAATGTCATTGGTAATTTGATAGGGATTGGATTCAATCTGTAGATTGATTTGGGTAGTAAAGTCATTTTCATAATATTGATTCTTCCAATCCAAGAACATGGTATATCTCTCCATCTGTTGGTATCATCTTTAATTTCTTTCATCAGTGTCTTATAGTTTTCTGCATACAGGTCTTTTGTCTCCCTAGGTAGGTTTATTCCTAGGTATTTTATTCTGTTTGTTGCAATGATAAATGGGAGTGTTTCCCTAATTTCTCTTTCAGATTTTTCATCAATAGTGTATAGGAATGCAAGAGATTTCTGTGCATTAATTTTGTATCCTGCTGCTTTACCAGATTCATTGATTAGCTCTAGTAGTTTTCTGGTGGCATCTTTAGGATTCTCTATGTATAGTATCATGTCATTGGCAAACAGTGACAGTTTTACTTCTTCTTTCCCAATTTGTATTCCTTTTATTTTTCTTCTCTGATTGCTGTGGCTAGGACTTCCAAAACTACGTTGAATAATAGTGGTGAGAGTGGACATCCTTGGCTCATTCCTGATCTTAGAGGAAATGCTTTAGTTTTTCACCATTGAGTGAATTTGTCGTAT